CCGAAACAAATCAAATGAGCCTTGATAGAAGATTAACGTTTAGTGCCACGTTTAATCCACTGTAAGTTCTGGGTACTAGACTTGTGAGAATCACATTGCAACACTAATAGATTGGAAATCAGAAAATATTGTATTTTATTCATCAATTTATTAAAACATTACTGGTATTGGTATTAATTTAATTTGTCTTTTTTTGGGGGGGGGAGGGAAGGGAGGGTTGCATTTTGTCCAAAACTCCCAATTTGCTGAATCATTTTCAAATTTTTTGTTCCTTTTTTCTTCTCAATCATTGGCCATTGTCAGATTTGTGAGATTTTTGTTTCAAACTAGCAGTCTGGTTGGCCAAGGAGATGGAACTTTTGTCTAAAAACAGCATTTATTGTGATGAAAGCACAGACAACGCGATGTATTTACAATGTGTAATCATTGTCTTGTTTCCTTTAACAGGACGCGGTTGCCTGCCGCCAGTGGAGAGCATCAGAGGCTGTCCGCCATGTTGGAGTGGCCATTGTGTCCAGCGCAATAACCACAGTTATCGCCACCATCCCTCTATTCTTTTGCATCATTGCGCCTTTTGCTAAGTTTGGAAAGATTGTAGCCCTAAACACCGGGATTTCTATATTGTATACATTAGTTGTGAGCACCGCCTTGCTCAGCATAATGGGCCCAAGTACCTTCGTCAGGACCAGGACTTCTTTTTTGAAAGCAGCCCTCGCTGCCGCCGTCTCTTTGGCCGGATGTATTTGTGTTTACATTACACTGCTTAAAAGCGGTTTGAACATCCCTGTTCTTAACGGGTCTCCCCCATAGTGAAAAATCTTTTTTATACATTTTTTTTGTACGCATTCATTTTTTTCTGAAAGGCAAATTTTATGGTATTGAGCAAACGAGCAATTCACTGTGCATTTTCTTCTTTAGAAATTGACTTTTTTTTCTCAAACTGATGCATACGACAGCAGTCAGCGTACCAGCAACTGCAGGAGCCTGGCCGCTTTGAAACAGGCTCACAGAGAATGCCACTTGATCAGAACATACTGTCCTACCATTGTGCCGTAGCACTCACATTGCAGCACAGCAGACGTGGCCTTATGCAGCTTCAAAGGTCTATTAGGAAATCAATATGAGCACAGATTTCACCTTAGGTGCCCTCTTTTTTACTTTTAACCATCTGCGCCCAAGACCCTCTTTTATTTATTTTATTTTGTGGGATTTTTTGTAACATATATCACTTTCTTAGATGTCTTGCATTGACTTGTCTAAATCTTAACTACCCAAAATGTATTTTCAAAGGTGTGCTATATCTTAGGAATGCTGTAAGGTACAAGGGGTGTGGTTTATTCCTAATCACACCCATGAGGAGTCTATGCTCTTTTCACCGCTTTTATTCTGCTTACAGTGTCAGTGGGAGCCACTGGTTTTTTTGTTTTTATTTCACAGCATTGTGAAATGTGTCTCCCTCTGGGCCCCGGAAATCCACATCTAGCTGGGATTTTTATGAAGTTTTGTTAAGTTGTATTATAAAGGAACGTTCCCTTCTGGAAGCAATATGATGTTGGATCTTTTATCCTTTTAGTTACTAAACTTTCCTAATACAATTAATCATTCTTTGCTTGTTTTTTCAGTCATAAAAGGACAAATTATGATAGAAATTTAAAGAAGGACAATCTAGGCAGCGTAACCATGTTCTTTGTCCCAGATCTTGCCTCAGAACCCTTACACGTAATACAAGTGTCAAAATAACAAAATAAGACTTTACAGTAGAGTTTGAAGCTTTGCTTTTTAGCCAATAGTTACACCTCCCAACTCATAACAAACACCCCACAGACTTTGTGTGGCGATTGTTGCAGGGTGCCCATAGCCAAGCACAGCAGAAATCATCAGAGTGACAGAAGTAGCCTTTGAACAAGCAAATGCTAACTCTCAAAGAGTCAAGCCACTCATTGCGCGAGTGTGCATGTGAGCCGGGAAGTATAATGAGCTTCCAATCAATACTTTGTCAGTTAGACAAATTAGTCAAAAGTAAATCTGCAGGTCACTGTACTAGCACCACAATTACTTTGATAGGCTCAACTGGTTACGGTACCTAGATTGTACCTTTGAATAATGTAATATTGTTGTAATATTCACAAACATATGTGCAAATAGATGCATTGTTTGATAAAATATATAATTGAAAATGTAGTAGGCATTATGCCATTGCATTATAAAGGGTTAAATTGAAACCATGTTACATACGCGTTGCTTTGCAAGACACTCTCATTGGTTGCCCGTTACCCTGGCTCTATGTAATGGAAGTTATCGGTGACTCTGTGCAAAGTAGGAGCAATCCGTGTACTAATATTCATTTTACAGTCAGGGACACCAAAGCCTTGAAGTGAACCTGTCTTGCTTGACAATTAAGTATTTCCTCGCTTAATACTATTAAAAACTCACATTCTAATTTATTCCCATTAACTGAGACCATCAATCATTGTTTAGTGGGTGTTACAGTTGCTATAAGACACACCTCTCCTACATACCCTGTTTGGGAAGCGCAGACTTGTTTACGATAAGAGATTTAAATTCCCCCAACTTTGTGTAAATAAAATGTATCTGCTCTCTCTCTCTCCATTTTCATATTGCCTGCCCAAAGCAGCTGCAATAATTCATTCTGGCTGTTTCTCTCCTATGTCCATGCTGCTGGTGCACCTCTCACACAGAGCCTGTCTTTCTTCCCTAGTTCCACTTGCAGGCACTGCTTTCCCTTAGGCTGAATTCAAGGAAGTGAGAAACCTACTGGAGGGTTTCTCTGATAACAGGCACGCAGAGCACAGCCTTTTTATTTGCTTGCTGATCGGCACTGTATTAGCACAAACTAAACTGACTGAAAGGAGGGGAAAAGGCTGTTTTTTTTAACCTATCAGTTTAGAGAAATGTAGACATTTGCTAAAGATTCTGCTTGCACAATGTATACACTAAATTTAATTATCTATTACTTAAGATTAAGTTGTATTTGTTACAAACGTAACGCCTTTATTTATATGAATGTAAGGAAACTTTAATATGTGTTTGTGAGAATGACAGCACGCTTTCACAATTATCTTGAAATATACAACTAAATTAATTTCTGAAGTGAAAGATCCATGTAAGGTAGGACATTTGTAAATTATAAATGTCACTTTTTAGGACATTTCCAGAATCAGAGTATAACTCAGTATTTTCGCCAGACTACCAATTTTATTAGCGCCATTTGTTATACTCAGTAATAACATTTCACTCATGGCAGTGGACACAATGTATACATTGGGGTTTAGAAACTCCTGCTAAAGATTGCTAAGGTGGGCAGGAATGTCCTATACTGGTCTTGGGTTTTGAGAGTTTTTTAATGATGTATCCAAATAGGGACCATCCTCTTAAATCAAAGCAATTTGGGAAATATGCACTGCATCACTCCGTGTACGCTATAGTATAAATCCAAACATAATAGTGCCAAATGTTGATCTATTTAATATGTCTTCTTTAAAGGGATGCTGAAGGCACTGTAATTGCTTGGATTGAAGTGGTTATAGTATCTGGAGACGTTTTTAATGATTTAATGCTAAATAAGATTTTTCAACCACCAATCCCTTATGTGATGCCAATATGGAAGCATTAGCCTGAGCAGCAATTGATGACTATGATTGGCTGAGAGTGTCAGCTGACCTATTTCAGCCTATCACAGCGCTCATTGCTGTTATTATTGATTATTAATTTTTTATTTATATAGTGCCAGCAAATTCTGTAGCGCTGTACAATGGGTGATTGAACTGGTATGGCCAGTAGGAAGTGTCTAATATCTACCTTAATAACACCTCCAGTGGGGGACAGGCTGTCGGAAGCCAGGGAGCGTTCTTTAGTGTTAAATTGCTCAAAAATGGTTAAACACTGAATGGAGAGACAGCACTATAACCACTTCAATGAGATGAAATGTTTATACAGTGCCTACAGTGTGTCTTTCCATTCCATGTGGTATAAATTATATAGAGTGAGAAGAAATGAGTACATTTTAGCAGACGGTTGATAATGTGCTATAGAGAATTCAGTGACTTTCTATTTTGCCAGGAATGTCTCAGAGTCTGAACACCTTCTACACCAGCCTTTTCATGAGACGTATCGGCTTCTGGCATTAGCACCCAGGGACTCTGAGTGGAAGACATTAAAGAGTCTGTACAGAGAAGGCAACAGTGTAACTGCAGGAACACAATCAAAACACATCTTATCCCTCCTCAAACGACAGAGACATGGCAGTAAAAATATACAAACCCTGACAGCTGCCCTCAAGGGACTGTAATTTAATTCAGAAAGTGACACAGCTTTAAGAAGAGCTGCACAGATCTCTCATGTAATGTCGTGCTGTGGCCCCTCCAAATGCTCTGTTTTAATAAATCTATCTGGATAATCACACAGCGTGTTCAGACTCTACAATGGGAAAACGTAAGGCATTAACCTCTCAGTGCAGACTGCCTTACTTGTGAATGAGTCTTTAACCCTTTGAGAGCCAGAGGTGTGACCAATGTATTGCACTCTAAAAGAGTTAAATAGCAGAGGTAAATAAATATATACAGTATATATATATCCATATTATTGTAGCTTTCCAGAACTGTAAAAACTGCTGAATATGGTTAAGAACCTCTGACACATTCATTTCTGCAATACTGTAGATAAGATTCCTCTAATTGCTGAATTATTTTCTGTCTGTTCATATTTTCCAAGAGAGAGCTTCAACAAAAAATATTTTCACAATTAATATTTTATTGTTACACATTACAGTGAGCTACGAATAAAAAGCTGGGTCCTGTTCATGCACATGGGATTTTGAAAAAAACAAAAACTTTTCAAAGACAAATTTTCCCAGATTGGTGTTGAGCAACATAACCTCTAAAATTTGGTGCCGTGGTTTTGTGGCCTAGAATGTCTTGGTGTCCCCCCCCCCCCCAATTAGAATTAATTTGACATAAACCAGGGCCTGGCCTTCTGGTTGCCTTGATACCTGTTCCTCCTCAGCTATTTTTCATTATCACCCATTAATGTCACCCAACATGGAGAGCAATGATTGTCTGAAACCGCTGGGGACAGGTTAGGCCGTGCTCTCTGCCTATAAGTGCCATCCAGGCTTGATAAGATTGTGTGAGTTTCAAATTATCAATGTTCTGGTTTGGGCACTAGTAAGAGGACCATTTTTGGATAGCAAGAAAATATCTGGTACCAGGGTCCGGTTATGGGAACCAGAAAGATGTCTGGTTCTGGTAACAGGAAGATGCCTGGTTCTGGGTACCAGAAAGATGCCTGGTTCTGGGTACCAGGAAGAGGTCTGGTTCTGGGTACCAGGAAGAGGTCCAGCTCAGAGCAAACTGTTCCTAAATAGTTTTAAATGAAACCAAGGACTCTAAACAGGGGCACTCTAAACAACATAACCAATGCAGTGAGTTGTAGTGCTTCTATTTTCTATCCGTCAACTGTGCGGACATAGCCTAAAAGTATCGAAACATTATCTCTCTTAGTGTTTTCATTAAAGAATCAAAGTACAGCTTTTTAATCACCCACGTATTGTGCCAAGTGATAATGGATGAATGAATTCTCGTGGACTTGCCCTTTGAACTCAGCATTAGCCTCTGGTTGCTAAGATCAAGCTGAATTAGTTCCAACTCAGTCTGTGTTCATTGGAGCTTCTTCAGATCACTTGGGCATGAAGCAAGTGAATTTTCTGCTGGGCTCAACTTTTTAATTGTATGAGGAGTTAATCTCCGGTTAAACCAGCAGGGTCCTTGCATTTTTTTTAGCAAATCATGAATTCTTCTTATTTTCACAGGCAAGTTCTGAAGCATATATCTGAGTTTCAGCACGATAACTCTAATTACAGCTTGCTATCTTGTTAAGTCAAACTTCAGGATGTGTGATTAACTATTTACAATTGATGTGGGTGTTAGCTAGCACAGTGAAGGCTGGGTATCCTATACCTCCATTTTTTAAGAAACGTATGATTCCTTCATCCTTTCGGTCAGTACTTGAATGTTTTGGCACAAAGTATAATTTGTATGTTCCCTGTGTGAAATTAATTAAAGGGTTACTCAGAGAACCATGACCACTTCAGTGATTTGCAGTGGTCATGGTACCAGAAGTCTGTACGAGCAGTGCTTTTGCCGTATGCTGCAGGAAGTGTAATTCCACCTCTGGCAGTGTCATTATGGCATCATTATTGCACAATTCACACAATTGCATTCAAATGCCAAGATGGGACAGCTCAAGCTTTCAGCCAATAAACGGCCCATGTGAGCGACTTACAGCATTTGCAGATCTGTAGATGCTGGATGTCATTAACAGCCATTAAGGAGCCCAGTGGGGACCAAGGTAAGAGTGTAACCATTGTGAAATGTTCTTCCCCATTACCAAGGAACTCATAGCTTCGTAATCACTGCAGGTGGCTGTAGTAGTTACGTTGCCTGGAGAGACCTTTTAATTGGCCATGGAGGGATCCCAAAGAAATATTCTCCCAGGCAAAAAAACAAATGCTATAAGTGCAGCCATGGTGATAACTAACCCCTGGAGCACTGATTTTTGTGGACAGTATTTCCCGTGATGAATTATGGGAAGAATTGTCCACAGCAGAATGAGGATATTGCAATATTGATGTGGTGCAAAGCTGCTTTGTAAAAATTGTAAGAATGTGTTACTATATATTTGTGAAGTGACAGGATAGGATTTATCGTCGACGTTTCATGTGCAGTTTCATTGCCGGCCCCGCAGGTTGGTTGTAAATAACTATGTATGGATCCCATCTGCTGCAGCAATGATTATTACTGTATACTAAAGATAGCCTTGAGCAGCTGTAATTTATAATACACGGCCGAGCAGTCGGCCATGCTGATGTTACTGAGTAAACATTCTCCGCTGTGTATAATAGAATGAATATAATGCAATGAACTCTTCATCAAAATGTGCAGTATTTAAGATCAGCAATTCTACCCGCCGCCTGCATCTAAATATAATGTCTTCAGGCGATTTTCTGATGATGTCATATTCCTTGTCTAGTACTTTAGCCTGGCAAATTATATGTTTTAACGCTCTGTGTGCTACAGAGGGTTAGAAAGTTTCCATTTGAATTTTGGCTTATGCAAAAGGCAAATAAAGTTCTCTTGCCTTTAATTAACATTTGGGTGCCAGAACCTTGGCTAACCTTGGCCCAATTCACCAGCATTGTAAAAAGTCAATTGCATCAACCATTCAAATATTACAGATGAACAGAGGTTGATGAGTAACCAGAAATTGTGTTGCAAAGTTGCAGGAATTTTCCGGCTTGAACTAATGTTTGCAAAAACCCTTGTTAATATTCTACCATTGCCTAATTAGTCAATAAACCCTCTTTTTGAACCAACAAAACGGCCCCAGAGTATTTGGTATGTGAAATGTGCACTGCTATGAAACAGTTAATTGGCTGCATAAACCTACCTTTCTAAAGGAATGTAGACTTTTAGAATAAGAGTTATATTTTGCCAGCATGGGCACATATGTGGAGGGCAAGTCAGTGCTTCAAATTTCAGTCAAAGGCAAAAGAATATTCGTAACTATTCAGCTGGCTGGCCACCAGGAATCGTGCCCAACCCCAGGGTTAGTCATGGCTAATATGAGGACAATAAAGTGAGCCACTGCGTTGTTTTACAATGAAAATGAATATTTAAATGGCTGTGTATCATGGCTATAGTTCCACACCATTTCCTCTCATTTAATTCATTTGTGATTTCTACATTTATTGTTGATACATTCTTGCTAATTTTGGCAAAAATGTTGATGTGACGAGTGGAGGTCAGACAGTGGCAGCTGGTGGGGTTCTTAAATCTTCTCCTGGAATTTGACTCTACTCGCTGATGCTGTTACCCAATATCAGACGTAGACAGGACAATGCACAGCCAATGGGTGATGTCATAAATGATCTCAGAGCAGTCTAAGCATGTCTGAGCGATTTGTACTCAGAGAACGGGGCTTTCTTTTCCAAAATGCCTCTAAATATTGACATTATCAGCTTCACTTACTCTCTATATTCTCTCTTATCTACTCTATAGAGCTTTTTAGGGGGATAAAACTGCACACTGTATCATGCCAGACATGTTTATATTTATTTAAAAATAACTAATTCTCTAACATGCATCATTAGTCCTTACTGCTACAATACAAACTGTGGACTCTGCCCTTACTGTCTACATGGATCAGTCTTCAGTCACGGTGGTGCCCTTATGGGAATACGTATAGTTGTACAAGTGGCACGATTTAACAGACTGCCCAGGAAAATAACCAATAAAGGGAGACGTGGTCAGAAACAGGTCAGCTGAATATTGTGGAAAGTTCTAGAATTCTATAAAGTGGAAAAGATTCTGGGGCAACCCAAGCTGGTGTGGCTTCGTTTTAACAGTATACGTAGCAATGAAATATACACATAAAAAATAACTAAGCCTTGCCCCTTCACAGAGTGGAGCTACATTCAGCAAATATACTCAGAATAGACAGTGATCCATTTATTACAGCATGCCCGCTTTGACAGTTGGATTTGCAGAGGGGCAAAGGACGTGCCATTAATAGAGTTATGCTGTGGGCACAAGTCACCCACCTCCTCCCTTGCCCACCTGGAAATTTGTGAACCTAGCAACACCTTTACAGAATGTGTTACTGTAGTGGAGTCAGGCATGTGTTTATGGCTATCTCCCCAGTAATAGTGCTTACTGTGTCTAGAGAAGTGACAGTTACACTTTAAAATGTTGAGAATGGTTTAATGCGGTGGTTAATTACATTCCCGTGATTACTGGGACATGGTTGTCAGCTGTGCTAGGACAAAATGGAGACACTAAACTCAGAGGGGCTTTATAACACTGGGAGGCATTCGGTTTGCTGTGCAATCTACTTAATTATAGTTTCTTCAGGAGCTAATAGCTGTGTGAGGATGATGGGAAACATTTGCCATGTTTGCCATCAGTGCGTTACTTCCTCGCCAGGTTTAATCCCACTGTGTTTTATTGGAAAGCAATGTGTACAACAATATGATATTTCAACTGATCACACATTTGTTTACAATCTATCGGTTTCGAACACAGGCCTTGAGCCCAGTACAGGGCTTGTTTTTGGTTTATAACGTATTCTGTATTGTGTGAGTGTTTTCACAGTAATCACAGTCTAAAATAAGCAGATCCAATTTCTGCTGGTAAAATAACTAAATTTAGACAACGTTATTAACTTGAAAGCAGGCGCAACGCTTGCCCTTAATCAATCTCCATAATATACAGTGAGATTGCAAAACGTGAGATCACAGGACATTCTATTTCCGTTTATGTTGAAGGTTATTATGCAGTAGTGATGACCACCAGTAAAGTATGGAATTAACCTGTTTTGTTCCAAATTGACACTGATGTTTTGTGTGTTCCTCGAAGCATGTAAAAAACTGATATTTTGAATATAGTGAACATGTGTATTTGTTGTATTATGTTATATTGTTGTAACAGTGCTTATTTTCACAATGTTTGTTTTAATTTACCACCCAGTAATTATGAGTTTAGTGACATGGATTCCAGATGTCATCAGCTCGGTAGACGTGTTCATTTAGTTAATGCACAGAAAAGTCTGCTAATTCTCAGCGTATTCGGTAATTGGGACTATGTGATTTGTGTAAACGGTTTATCAACAGCCGTTAACATGTTATTAGTTATCAGAAGACAGATTACGATCGAGGTAACGCTTGTCAATACTGGGGATTTGTTTTATGCCGATACGTCTTGGAGGCACGAGTAGAGAAAAAAGTTACATTTAGGAGGCAATAGTGGATCATTTCTGTGCAGATTACAGCATTTTTGAAGGCTTATGGGGTCTGTGTATAGTCTATTAGGACGACTTTAAATATTACATTTGTGTAGCAATATATTGGAAATAGGGAATTATCTCTTACAGGGACACATTTTGTAATAAATATATTGGGCACAATAATCACTATAGCTTACTGTAGGGGCTGAGGTGCTCAGATTGCTTTGCTATCCCAATGTACGTAGTCAGCCGTTTGGCCTCTTCTCTGGGGTCCGAGAAGTGCCGATCCCTGCCATTTTGAGCTAAGTCAAGGTTTTTAGGTGCTGGTTACTAAACTACGTTTCCACCATCCATCCATTTTCTTTAATATTCTACAGACATAACGCTCAATTCCTCCCTTCCACCCTCACAGATACATATACACCCCATGCATGTCTACTTATTGACACCTCACAGCAGAGCATCAGGGCAACCAATTACTGTATTTACAGAATAACAAAATAAAGCTCTGGTAATTAGAAAATAATAACCTCTGTCACAAAGGCATTTATTTTATTTGACCCATCATCTCTTATAACATTGTGTGCTATTATTAAAGATCATTTAAGCTAAATAACAAAATGTTTGCCAGATTTATGTTTTAAAATATGTTTTTAACTATTTTTTTTTTTTATTGATTGGATACTGATTGAAGGGTCACTAATTAACATAACAATTTTAATTCATATTAAACGTTATTCTGCTTCATCTGTTGACTTGATTGGGGCTGTGAACAGGATGACAACAGTGGTAATTTGATTTCTTTAACCCCTTAAGGACACATGACATGTGTGACATGTCATGATTCCATTTTATTCCAGAAGTTTGGTCCTTAAGGGGTTAAGCTTATTCTGCAGTTTCACTCATTCTATGCGATGAGTGAAACTGAGACTTGGAATAAAACGGCGTATCCCATAAATCTATGGGGGTCAGGGGTTAATAAGACAAGAAAAAATATAGACAAGAATGACAGACTCGTGATTGGTAGACCTTCTTCCTGGTCTGGGGGCGTCTAACTCCTCATGCATTTGCCTGTGTAAATGCTGAAAATGTATAAACATTCGCTATCTGTTTATAATATCTGTTTTGTCCTTTTATTTATTTATTTTTATTACATTTTCTTCTTTACTTATTTGTATGCATTATCTCCTTATTGCATTGAAGAGATTGGAAATTGCAGGTCACTTACTGTTACTACAATCATTCCTGTAAGTGCTAATAATCATTTTGTTAAATAACCAGTTGCAGTCTGTAAAATGTCACCTTACCATTGCCAACCCCGACTGGTAATGAGAGCTGCCATGTTGAACCATTGTTTTTTATCTTTATCTTTGTCATTACAGCTCGAACAGTTTGTTTTGGGGTGGGGTGAAGAAGAGAGGGATCATGGGTAATACAAATAGATTTGCCTTAAAATGCTCTGGCTTTGCATTTTCAGAAGGCAATTGTGACGTAATATATAACACAGTTAAAAGTTGAACTAATCTATTTCGCTATTCCTCTTTAAGGGATAACTACAGTGAATAATTACATTTTAATATTTTTATTTATGTTAATAATAAAATGTTCCTTTGTGAAGCTGTAATGGCAATACTGATGTAAAAAATGTTTTTCTTCAATCGTTCATTTTTTATGACAGTTCCCCGTTCAGGGGTACACGTGTTTATTCTCATTTCTGCAATGGGGAACCTTACACGTCATGGGCTACGTACCCTCTGCTAGTCAGAGTGTGCGACTTTTCCTGTCCTCATAATAATGAGGTCAGTCTCAAAGATTAATGTGTGATAAAGAAGCTGCTATTCACTGTTTAGATAATAAATTACTATAAACTATGCGCATGCCACCTTGAGGAGATTTTAATTTTCCATGTACTAAAATGTTAATGGATTACTCCAATCATCATTAACGACTAAAGCCTGCTATAGTGGTGATGTGTGGTGCACCCTGGCCTGGTTGCCCTCTTTGCTGGCCCCTGCCAGGCTCTGATGTTCCCTTGTGGTCCAGTGACAGACTTCCTGCTCCTGCAGAACCGCTGAAGTTAGAAGCCACTCCGTCTCTCAGCCAGTTAATGTAATTCTGTGCAATGAAACTTCACTGATGGCACCCCAATATTTCAGCCAGAGGTGGTTTTACACCTCGGGCAGCAAAGCGATTAAACTCTATATGTTTAGCATTTTATAGCAAAACGCTGCACATACAGTCTTCATGCACCATGACCACTTCAATCCCTGAAATGTTCATGGCGATTTGAGTATTCCTTTAAATCGCTAAAAAGCACAATGTATTCTGCGTTACTACTGAATTTAACACATTATCAGCCGCTGATTTTAAGAACACTATTCTAGGTGGATTTTCCTCTTAGTTTTCATAAAGTTAGAAAAGTGTTTTTTTCATTATAATTTTTTATATATTTATTTATTTTATGTGGCGGTGACCGCCTTGGAGTTACATCTGCTTTTCCTCTTTTTTATAGTTTCAGTGAGTTTAACTCCCCACACAGAGATTCCACTATCAATCAGAACTGAGGAATTTCTGAGTTGAGCTGATTAATTCCCAATCCCCCCTTTTCTCTGTCCACTAGGAATGGATTGCTGAGCTATATTGTGCGATGATGAAGTATATCAACTGTACTCAATGAAAATCACTGCAAGTCCCACTTCGCTATGGTTATTTTATAAAAGTTTCAGAAACAAAAAAAAAAGACAAAAACTTTTTTAACAGTTTTAAAAATGATCAACACCGTTTCATCTGCTGTTACAGTGTTGTGTGACGGTGAAAGGGGTGTTTTGTTAAGTTCCAATAATATTTTGTTGTCATCACTGCCTAGTCCCCAATGAAACAATGCCTGTACGCAATGTTTGCTAACTCGGTATTAGCTGCTCTATGCCAGCCTGACACATTTATTGGGTCATCTATGATCTTTAAAAGATGGTTTGTTGTGGTGCAATTATTCTGTCATTAATCATTAAGGGCTTAAAATATAAAAATGTATAATTAAAGCACAATCTCTGCTGTTGGTCGGGTGAGCTGCAAGCAGGCACCCAGCGACTTTATATCCAGTAATTAACTGCAGTGCACATTATCCATAGATGATCTTGCAAGAAAAAGTGTCTGTGGTGTCAAAGAATTATGGGTAATTTGCACTAGACATGGCGGCACATTACAGAGCATTATGGGAACTACAGTCTACAACCAGCTGCAGAGTCAGAGCGTGGCGAGCAATGCTATTTGTATGTGTTTGTCATAAGTTAACATCCATTATCAGACAACAACGTGTGTTTAAGAGGCACCCACCATAGTGACATGTACCTAACTGAAATCAATCCAATCCAATCATGGGGTATGTAAAGAAAGGCACAGTGATCAGTGAAAACAGGAAGATACAACTCTATTCATACAACAAAAAATGTTTTCCTTGTATAATGTTGTGTTGTTTTTTTTTTTAACAAACTAATAACAGAAATTTACAAATTCAAATTGAGTAAATGAGTGACAAGCCTTGCAATGCTAAACAGAATGTAATGTATAAATCTCTCTTTAATGATGCTTTGCTCCAGCACTGATATTTACCCTGCAGAGAGACTAATTTATCTGCCTAGATTCTATTCTCTTACACTGATGCTGAAAGGCAGTCAGTTCTCTGAAACCTTTGTAAGTCAAACTTCATGGCTGCTTTCCGGCAACCAGTTGGTGTGACTTTGAGCACAGTGTTATCAGCTTTTAAGGTTTTCCTTTTTCAGGTATGTGTGATCAGCAATCTATACATTTAATAGCTGTTTTATCCTATTGTTATGTACTTACAATGTGTCCCATGCATCCAGATAAATGCTGTATAATTAGAATGAAAAGCTCTTGGTAATGATGGGGTTAAACTATTTTTTTTTTTTTTTGCATGTCTGTAAATGAAAATAAAGGCAAGTGAAGCCTGTGCAAATCTGTTGATTAAATTGGAAGATAAGGGCCAGCTTAAGAGTATAAATAAAACATTCTGTTTTCTTTCCAAAGCCGCAGTTATTATGGAGAGACATGAGAAAATCTATTCAGTAGAAGCACAAAGTGGGAACATTATACAATGTAACATAATTTCAGCACGGTGCCACCATGTACCAACCGGTCCTCTACGTTTTCTAAGCTGTATTTTCCCTGGTTTGCTATGTTTCTGGTTTAGAATTGTAAATAAAGGATTTTCAGAAATGAGAATATTTTGCTGAATTACTATTTCTGTTGCGTTCTAAGTGCCATGTCTCCGTTATCCAAACAATGGCGAGAACTGTCGAGTTGGATACATTGACAGCAGCCGGAAAATTTCGAAGGTATTTCATAAAAAGAAAAGAAAAATAACAAAATAAAGAGCTAATCCAAATAAATTGCAGGACGTGTGAGTGGGCAATAACCCCTGTCAGTGAAGCAGCAATGCAGAGGCACCAAAACAACTGCATCTGAATTAAGTTGTGATGGTGCCAGGAGGCCCATGGAGATACTTTTACCTCAAGGAGTTAAGCCGTTCTCGAACAGTTTACCCCCAAAGTTGCCTCCAGCGGCCATGTTCACTCCCCCTCCCCCAGGCGGCATCTGGCTTATTGATTTTCCTCTAGGCAGGGCACCGCTGATTTGCTGAGAGTGGTCAGCTGACACTCTCAACCAGTCACTGATTGCCCAATCACTAGACTGGCTTGGAAAGAACATCTATTTTCCAAGCCAAATTAATAAATGGCGAGTCACTGATTGGCTGAGAGCATTAGTAATGTTTGTATTTGATTGCAGGGGAGTGTTTGTGAGTAATGTTTATGTTTGATTGCGGGGAGTATTTGTAAGTAATGTTTGTATTTGATTGCAGGGAGTGTTTGTGAGTAATGTTTGTGTTTGATTGCAGGGGAGTGTTTGTGAGTAATGTTTATTTTTGATTGCAGGGGAGTGTTTGTAAGTAATGTTTGTGTTTGATTGCAGGGGAGTGTTTGTAAGTAATGTTTGTGCTTGATTGCAGGGGAGTGTTTGTAAGGAATATTTGTGCTTGAATGCAGGGAAGTGTTTGTAAATAATGTTTGTGTTTGATTGCAGGAGAGTGTTTGTGAGTAATGTTTGTGAGTAATGTTTGTATTTGATTGCAGGGGAGTGTTTGTAAGGAATATGTGTGCTTGATTGCAGGAGTCTGTTTGTAAGTAATGTGTGTGCTTGATTGCAGGGGAGTGTTTGTAAGTAATCTTTGTGTTTGATTGCAGGGGAGTGTTTGTGAGTAATGTTTGTGTTTGATTGCAGGGGAGTGTTTGTGAGTAATGTTTATGTTTGATTGCAGGGGAGTGTTTGTAAGTAATGTTTGTGTTTGATTGCAGAGGAGTGTTTGTAAGTAATGTTTGTATTTGATTGCAGGGGAGTGTTTGTAAGTAATGTTTGTGCTTGATTGCAGGGGAGTGTTTGTAAGGAATATTTGTGCTTGAATGCAGGGGAGTGTTTGTAAGTAATGTTTGTGTTTGATTGCAGGGAGTGTTTGTAAATAATGTTTGTGTTTGATTGCAGGAGAGTGTTTGTGAGTAATGTTTGTGAGTAATGTTTGTATTTGATTGCAGGGGAGTGTTTGTAAGGAATATGTGTGCTTGATTGCAGGGGTCTGTTTGTAAGTAATGTGTGTGTTTGATTGCAGGGGAGTGTTTGTAAGTAATGTTTGTGTTTGATTGCAGGGGAGTGTTTGTAAGTAATGTTTGTGTTTGATTGCAGGGGAGTGTTTGTAAGTAATGTTTGTATTTGATTGCAGGGGAGTGTTTGTAAGTAATGTTTGTGTTTGATTGCAGGGGAGTGTTTGTAAGTAATGTTTGTGTTTGATTGCAGGGGAGTGTTTGTAAGTAATGTTTGTGTTTGATTGCAGGGGAATGTTTGTAAGTAATGTTTGTATTTGATTGCAGGGGAATGTTTGTAAGTAATGTTTGTGTTTGATTGCAGGGGAGTGTTTGTAAGTAATGTTTGTGTTTGATTGCAGGGGAGTGTTTGGATGTAATGTTTGTGTTTGATTGCAGGGGAGTGTTTGGATGTAATGTTGACTTTTAAATACAAATTTAGATCTCAATCCCATCAAACACATTTGGGATGAACTGGAATAGAGATTCCGAGCCATTCCTTCTCACGCAACATCAGTGCCTGACCTCACAAATGCTCTACTGGATGAATGGACAATAACTCCCACAGAAACAATCCAAAATCTTGCAGAAAGCCTGCCCAGAAGAGTGAAAGCTGTTAGAGCTGCAAAGGAGGGACCACCTACATATTAATCATGTGTATGTATTTAGAATACAATGTCATTAAAGTCCCTGTCAGTGTTATAGTCAGGCCTCCCAATACTTTTTTTCTGATCCTAGTACTTTTGTCCATATAGTGTATATATTTTATATTTTATATTTTATATTTTGCTTGCTTGTGGGATAGCTCAGGGGGTTAATGCATCATCAGTACAATCTGTTCAACCCTTGGTTCACAGGTTCAAATACTGGTAGGACTGACTTAGCCCTTCATCCTTTCGATAAAACGAGTACCATTAAGTTGGGTAATAGTAACAATCCCTCAATGTTGGGCTAAGGTAACATCCCCAGAACGTACTTGGAAACCAGAGTAGTGTGAATGTACCTTTCCTCGTAAATACTTTGTTATTATTATTTTGTTATATTGAAAAAAAGTAATTTTATCTCAGGTTAAAGCAGATCCTTTTAATTGTTATTATCGTTTAATTCTGAAATGCACAGCTGTACAAGGGTCACAGCACTGGGTATATACATAAAGCGGGAAGAAAATAAAACATTAATTTAACATTAATATATTTCAGTCTGTTCTGTATTCATTTCAAGGCCAGAAAACGAAAAAACAAACAAAACAAAAAAAAACAGCTTTTGTACAACAGGAAGAAAATAGCTATCCATCGATCTATTAATTATCTATCTATCATCTATCTATCATCTATCATCTATCTATATCTATTTGTCTGTTTATCTATCTATTATAATTATCTATCTATCATCTATGTTTCTATCTATTATCTATCTGTCTATTCATCTATCTATTAATTATCTATCATCCATCTATCATCCATATCTATCTATCTGTCTGTATCTATCTATATCTATTTGTCTGTCTATCATCTATCTATCTATCTATCTATCTATCATCTATACATCTGTCCATCTGTCTGTCTATGTATCTATATGTCTATCTATCTGTCTGTCTGTCTGTCTATATCTATCTATCTATCTACTGATCCCACTGATAGAAATCTTCACTGTATGAAAGAACACTTTGAATACAATGAACTCCAGAACACTTACAGCTTCTCAAATAAACACTTCAATATGATTGAAATATCACTGGGGGCCCGAAGGTTGGAAAGAGCATTGGGAATTGTGCACAGACTGGATCTGATTTCATTATTTAACACTTGACTCAAAATATGATTAGAAAGACCTTTCATTCTGCCAAATTCAGAACAACCACTAACTGATCAGCCAAAAACCTTTTGAATCACAGCCGCTCACCTTTGTAAATTTCCAATCCATGTTACATTGTTCAGTGAACACTGAGAGGCTAGCATACAATACAGAATTTCTGCCAATATAGTGGGTCAGTTCGTTTACCCAGTCCAATTAAATGCCTAGCAAGGATTAGTGCAGCAGGTATGAAACATTAAAGGGACTCTGTTGGCACAATACCCAATTCGTCTAATTGAATTATTGAATTTATGGCAAACACAGGAGTAGTCTAGGAACTTATTACCTTCAGAACGTGCACTTTAGATAGATAGTAGGGGTGAGAAACTGCAAGTGGGAACTAGGAAAGTGAGAAGTATGTAAATTCAGAGTGAGACAGGAGTATTTGTTGGTTAGGCGGAATGCATTAGTTATTGAGTTGAGTAGTAGACTTTGCTGAGCAAGAACGTCTTTAGGGAGAGCCCAGCATTAGGTAAACTAGGAGAAACTCTGACAGCGCGGGGAACTGCATTCTAGATAGTTGGATTGGGGGGAATAAACGGCATGTCCACTCCACCTTTTATTACTTAGGTAGAGCTCCTGCTCACTGCCCTTTGGTGGGAACTAGGGTGACATGAGTTCCCAATTATAAATGAATTAGCCCCTACCTGTTGCCCAGGGATGTAGGCTGTGGGGACATTAGGTCGCTCCATGCTATTAATTATAGCCCCAACCCACTGTCCAGTGGTGATAGCTAGGGGGTGACAGTAAGTACCCTCATTAATTAATTATCACCAACAGCCAAGGTTAATTAATAAGAAGTTGGACAGTACATCCCCTCTGTGTTAAAAATGAAAGCTCCCACCCACTGACCACAGGTGGGGGCACGGGGACCGGAAGGAATCCCCGCTGTTCTTTAATTTCAAGCTGGCTCCAATGTCCACAGGTAGGGGCATGTGGAGGATCTGCACCAGGTCGTCTCTGTATGTTACTAGTGACTGGGCACTAATAGATAACAAAAGAAAAGCAAGGAAGAATTGGAACAGCGCTGAACATTGAGATAGGAGGCAGCATATATGGGGCAAGGGGGGGAGTACAGAATATTTGATAGAGTCCTAACCTCAACATATGAGGAAAGGGATTTAGGGGAGATTATTTCTGGATTTAGGGGTGATTATTTCTGGATTTAGGGGTGATTATTTCTGATGACTTAAAGGTAGGCAGACAATGTAATAGAGCAGCAGGAAATGCTAGCAGAATGCTTGGTTGTATAGGGAGAGGTATTAGCAGTAGAAAGAGGGAAGTGCTCATGCCATTGTACAGAACACTGGTGAGACCTCACTTGGAGTATTGTACACAGTACTGGAGACCGTATCTTCAGAAGGATATTGATACCTTAGAGAGGGTTCAGAGAAGGGCTACTAAACTGGTTCATGGATTGCGGGATAAAACTTACCAGGAAAGGTTAAAGGATCTTAACATGTATAGCTTGGAGGAAAGACGAGACAGGGGGGATATGATAGAAACATTTAAATATATAAAGGGAATCAACACAGTAAAGGAGGAGACTATATTTAAAAGAAGAAAAACTACCACAACAAGAGGACATAGTCTTAAATTAGAGAGACAAAGGTTTAAAAATAATATCAGGAGGGATTACTTTACTGAGAGGGTAGTGGATGCATGGAATAGCCTTCCAGCTGAAGTGGTAGAGGTTAACACAGTAAAGGAGTTTA